TTTTTTTTTGGGCTACTTTCTTGATGAATTACCTGTATGAATATGGTTTTGCTCTTTTATGTTACTCTTGTACTTTACTGGGACGTACGATATGAATAATATCGGTTTAATGGCGGCTTATGAACTTTATGTTGTAGTTTTGCTAGTATTTTTGATTTGACCGAAGTTGGCTATATTTTCCAATTACCTAGAGTGAATATTTCTAAGGGTGAGCAAGACGTGGTGCAGAACTGCACCACACACTGTTAAAAACTATCAAATATCAATAATACAGTAATGCACCCAACATAGGGAAAAACCAAAATCAAAGTCGAACCGATTTTTTTCACACCAAGATAACCGAACTGAACTGCACAGTTGGGCTCAGTTTTTGGTTTTGCCTTGGTTTTTTCATGCATTTTTATTTAGTTTAGTGCGATATGGTGCAAAACAACACCGAACTGGAAAAAACTGACAACCGAACTTGTGAAATAATAATCAAACCTCACCGCATTATAGAAAAAAACCGAAACCGAAAAATTTTTATTTACCCCTTGCTCTATAACAATCACTCTTTATAAAGTCTTTCATAGAACAACTATAATGCCTTAAAACCCAAACTGAACATAGTTTGCAGCCTGCATCCACAATTTCCCTACACTAAACAAGACAATAAAGCACCACACACACACACACACACACACACTAGTCAGACTTAAATCTCATAGCCTCTACTCAACGTTGAAGTTCTTGTTTGTCCTGACTTTTTCTAGACGAGCCTTGCGTACCGCCTCCTGGATTTGTCGTTCGTGCTCTTTAAGCATTTCTTCCATATTTGCCCCTGGAGGCATCAGTGGTCCCGAAAAACGCATCCTGTTTTTCTTCGGCACGTAGCCCTGAAATTTTGAAGGACGATACGTTTTTTCACATCTTTGTCACACAATGACATGAAGATCAAACTTTTTTTCACTACATTTTGACTAAATGTAGCTAACACATAGGTGACATAGGTGCTTAAAAGATCCTTTTAGATAAAATCAACCAAACATTCATACAGAAAAAAACAGAAAAGCAAGATTCAGAAAACATACTATCGAGTCGTTATTAGACGCCCGGCCCACATCCTTGCCGTCCAAATCCGACACATCCACTATCGATGGATGCACTTGAGAGCCTTGCCTCCCATGTTGAGAAGAGCTTAATGTCCGAATTTGAACCGAATGACCTGAGCTATCATTTCTGAGCTTTTCACTCCAAGAATGTCCAACTACATTCGGGTGAACCACCGAGCTCGAACGACGATCATAGTACCCGTTCTTCAAATTCGCTCTCGGAGGCTCGATCGGGAACCCGGACCCGCTGTCCTCTTGCGGGTTGTATTTATAGCTCGTGCTCTTGTTCGAATTTCCCTATTTTTTTTTTTTTTTGTTGATCACGTGACGTTGATTATGATAAAACGATTGAGGTTTAACATTTTTCTATTTGATGGTATAAGTGTTTGAGTAGATAGAGGAACCTTTACATCAGGGACAGCCGTATGTTTACGCGAGCTGTTTCTTGCTCCCGCTTCACGTCCTTTAAGACTCTCGTCTTTTCGCCTATATAAAGACCAAATATTAGAAATTATCAGGCAATAATGGCTATTTGAGATTTTGCAGTATTAGCTAATTATTTATTACCTTTTCGCTTCCTCCTCTCTCATCTTGACATCGAGTTCCTTACTCGGAGGATACTTAGGCAAGCTCGACGGATCGCATGGCAGAGGTTTCTTCGTAAAGAACTGTGTTTTTCGAAAAAAAGAAGAAGAAAGAATTCAATTTTTGGGTGATTTCAAACACAAACACTCCCTTATATATATTATTGGACTGAAAGTAGGAAAATGTACCTCGCTACCGAGTGCTGATGTGGCAGTGCCTCTCTCTTCTGGATCAATAGCAAGGAGGAATTCTAGAAGGGCCAATGCCGAAGAAGGAAATTCCTTGAACGTATCGGACACTCGACGTTTGTACAGAGGCTGTGATTTGAAACTACTCGCGTGCGGCAGTTTTGCTTTCCTCCAGTACGCTTCATTAGGCGAGCCACACAGCTTGAATATCTTATGCATTTGCTCGACCTGTAAAATGCGCATCATCATTTATTCTATTCACTTATGTGCATGCATTGTTAACCTCATTAGCTGATTTTGTAAAATTGTGTACCTCTGTTCTTCCAGGCATGATGGGTTTTCCGGCGAATAACTCGGCAAGAATGCAGCCGGCGCTCCACAAATCAATAGCCGGTCCGTACTCGGTAGCTCCCAGAAGAAGCTCGGGTGCACGGTACCATAGAGTCACGACCCGACTGGTCAACGGTTGACTTTGTCCAGGCTCGAATGATGTGGCGAGACCAAAGTCCCCGATTTTGAGGATTCCTTTATTATCGACCAACAGATTGGAACCCTTTATGTCTCGATGGAGAACACCCCGTCTATGGCAGTGCTCGAGTCCTCTCAACAATTGTTGCATGTAACACTTAAGCTGCAACGAAAGAAGGAAAAGAAGGACGTCATATAAGGTACATTGATACAGTTTTGCTAATATGAGCCCAAATAACATTTCAAAATAACATAGAGAAAAATATAGAAAGACCTGTGGTTCAGTGAATTTAGCCTTTGGCAATGCGATGAGTCCGGCAAGATCGTGCTCCATGTATTCAAAAACGAGATACAAACTTCCGGATACTCTTGAAGTCACCAAAGCTTCGAGCTTCATCACATTCGGGTGGTCCAGCCTGCGCAGGATACATATCTCCCGAGCCATGAAACGGACACTCTCCGGATCCATATTGACAAATCTCACCTTTTTCATGGCCACGATTTTCTCGGTTATCAAGTCTCGAGCCATGTACACGCTGCTGTAGGTTCCTTGTCCGATCTGCATCAAGAACGAATCTTTACGGGTTAAATAAACTCACAAAACAATAAATGATCATAAGATGAAAGAATAGGTGGAATAAAAAACTTACTTTATTCAACTTCTCGTAGGAATCCGCGCTCCGTGGGGTCCACCCCTTGATAGCCTCACCGGCAACCGACGCCAGCCAGGACGGCCACCCGGCTGCCACCTGTTCCCCTTTGGCGCCATGTGGCATGCTGACGATCCTAGTCATCGTCTGCTGCATCCCGTTAAACGCTCCCAAATCCATGGTCGAGCCACGACGGTGCCCACTTGCAGGCCTCTCGATAAATATTGTCTTGGCATTTTCTTCCACGGGGACATTATTATTACTAACGTTATTCGACTCGGTTCTTGTCTTGGAACCCGAATGAAGAGAACCTTCATTCCGAATATTATTGTTATTATTATTATTATTATTGTTGTTGTTGTTCGACCCTAATCTGACGGTTGATGGCTCGTCGATTTTCAAAGGAACGACCGCATGCGACGAGGATTTGCTCTGTTCACTCAGTTTCTGCTTTTCGAACTCGGCTACGTAATCGTTCGCGTTCGACGCTTTTGAACAAAGGCAGCCCATTTTTCTTCTCCTTTCCTTTTCCTGGAAAAACGTAATCTTGATCTGCACAACTCAGCCTTTGTGCCCTGAATTTGTAGAAGAAAAGTGCATTGTGGCCTCAAAAGAGACACAATGGGGACAAAATTATCTTCCTCTTCTTGGGGTCACCAAGAGTTCCAAAAATCAGGCTGCTGATTAAAAATGGATAATTAAAAACTCATGCAATAATCACATAATATGAGTATTTGATGAGGAAGAAAAATATGAATAAGTTCAAAAAACTTCCAGACCAGAATCCAGCATTACATCATAAAACATATCTTTTGGGGGCTGTGATGAAGAATATGAATATATATATATATACAGAAAATACAATAATGTATATATATATATATTTCTATGAATCTATGCAAAGAGTTTCTGGTCAGAAGATGGGAAATTGAAGGTGTGCTAATGGAAGATTTTGGGTTCTCAGGAAAAGAAAAGGTTGTTAAATTTTGTGTGTGTGTGTGTGTGTGTGTTTTTTTTTTTTTTTTTTTTTT